ATGGAGGTGAAATTAAAAAACAAATCAATGCCCCAAATCCCGAAAAAATTTGTATCCCCCCCCCCCCCCCCCCCAGTTTTAGAAAATCGGTGGATCTGTAGGCCGATCTGTCGCTGCGTCTCGCGCATTCGGAGATAAATACCTGAGCTTCTCAGAGCCGTTTTCAGACAACTCCACTGCCTTTTTACATTCTTCCAAAAGGTCCCGTACGCAGCCATGTTTGTCAGGGTACAGGGTGATCTCCTGCAATAAAAGTGTGTGAGAAAAAACAAAAAACAAACATTTGACCAATTGCATAACTACACAGAAATATGATATTTTAAGCTGAACAAAACAATCAAAGCATGCGGCTTACCTCCTCTCTGAACTGGCTGTTGAGCCATATGCATTTAAAACTCCTCCTGTTCTCAAAGTCTGTTATCTTCATCTTCAACTGTGAGCACAGCAAGAGGAAAACACGTTTTTATTCGATCGCAAAGGCTGCCTGTGATTCACCTCTTTCCGTCGTTAACGTTTGTACTCGCCTAAAAAGGATTTGATCCAAACGTGAGGATCAGAATTAAAAACGTGGTAATGACTCGTGGATAAACCTGGGTGCAAAACCCCCCCCCAAAAAACTGGGGTCAATTCCCCCAGAAAGTTTTATTTTCTCTCTTGCCCAGCTGTGAGGCCACAGATGGTTCACTTTGTAACAAACGAAAAGCTGCGGACTTTAAAACAGGGAATTGAATATATAACTACATTAGGATTAAACTGATTATGTACTTAAAAACACACCGGGCTCTCGTATTTTCTAACTTTAGCTGGTTGGTGTAAGCCTGCTGAGGTAAGCCCGAAATCTCGTTAGCTCAGCCTGGGCAATCTACCGAAAACCCACTGAACTGCATCCGAGCGCGAAAGCAGACCAGGGGTGACGACACCTTCGCGATAAACGGAAAAACAGAGTTTTAACACGTCTTTCTACCCGACATAATTCAGAAAAAACATCTTTTAAAATCCAAATCTGATGGCACCAACGCGACTAATCGGTACGTGACAATTAAAAAGAAAGAAATCAAACATCCAAGCATTCCCACCTGCTGGTAGTAAAGCTTCTTGGGCTGCCGAGGCTTGAAGAATTGCAGCAGGTCTCGCAGTGTCCCATCATAGTTGTGTCTGAGAGGATTCCCTGGACCGTCCCTGTACCTGGCCACCACACCACCAGGCAGGGGGGGCAGGGCGGTGAAGGGAAGGAAGGACGGATGGAGAAAGACGGGAGAGGGCGCAGCGGGGGTTGGGGGAGTCATGGAGGAGAGAAGATGTGTAAGTTGGCATGGAGAGAAAGATGCACAGAAGAAGTGAGAGGCGAGAGGGAGGAGTTAAAGAGGAAAACAAAGAGAGAGGTGGAGGGGGGACAGGTTACACAACATTTCTCACAGCTGGAAATGACCAAACAGAAAGCAAGCAAGTCCAAGACGCAACTCAGTAAAGGCATTTGGCAAACAAACGTTTAACAGACTGGATATTGTAGATCATCTGAATCGAGATTTTTGTTGCCACCGGAGGACAAAAACTGGGAAAATGTATTAAATTAAAAAGGCAAACATTTGTTTATTGTGGTTTTCTTTCGGTGTCTTATTTTACCTGCTCTACAATAAACTTTAAAAAGCATCTTAAAAATCGGCTCTTGGAAAGTCAACATGTCAACGCTGAGCATATGGAAAGATGTGTAGCTTTTAAGGTCGTTTCCTGTGTTTCTTATTTTGCAGAGTTTGTAGGGTTTTTTTATCCCTGCATTTATTATTGTGCTCAACCTCAACCTGCCAACGGGACTAGAGATGGAGATCAGCCTATAATCTCATGTATTTACATGTAAATATTCATTAATAGTCATTGTCCCATTTAAAAAAAATTATCTGAACTGTTGAAGAAAAAAGGATAAATATAATTTAAGACATTTTACACCTCGTTTATGTTTTATTAATTCATCTACAGTCTATACCTATTCTATACTTTATAAAAAAAAAAAAAAAAAACTTAAGACGAATAATTGTGCGTCAGTGTGTGGATGGGACAAGCCTCCTACCCCTGGGACTTGAAGAACTGCAGCAACATTGGATCTGTGTTCAACCTCTGTGCGACTGTCTTGGCCACCTGACAAAAACACACACATTACAAGTAGGTTAGCACCCGTCAGGCAGCGTCTACGTCAGGCGCCTTGAGCAAACCAGACGAACAAAGAAAGCAAATAAAGATCAGATTCATACGTCAACCAGAAAACTTCACATCTCCTTGCATCATCAATAAGAAGATTTTAGCTGTACTTTAAGCACCCAGGAAGAGTTCCACTTCGATTAAACAGGTAAATTTAACTTTAATATTGCTAAACATCTTTTCAGCATGACAAAAAAAATAAGATCTTTGCTCAATTTAGCTGTATGAAGGGATGAAAAGAGGTCACCCCTCAATCCAGGCGGCATTAATCAAGCCGAGCAACCGCACCTGAAAATAGTTCATGCGGTTCGAGAGCGTGACCACGAAGCCGGGGTCGTTGTGGATGGTCTTGTCACAGAAAATGACATCAACTCGGTGGTACAGATCCCGGAAATAGTCCTTCGCTGTGGGCAGCTCACTGCTGTCGTTCTCTGGGTCGTCCCTGTGCGGGGAGCGGCAGAGAACGAGATTAAAGCGCCGCTCACGTAGCGACAGACCGTAGGGATCAATTAGAGACACAACGGTCCATCGGGATCAAAGTTGTTTCTGTTTTATGTGGACAGAATCAGTCAAAAAGACAAAAGGCGCGCACACACACACAAAACACACACAAGCACACACACACGCACACACAAACAAATAAACACACACACACACACACAAACAAATAAACACACACACACACACACAAACAAACAAACAAACAAACACCTAAGATGAACAGTTTTTCTGCTTTAAAAAAAAAAAAAAAAAAAAAAAAAAAAAAACAGGGACCAAAAACAGGTTTAACAACCCG